CCCCAAAACCCCAAAACCCCAAAACCCCGTAATTTCAACAATTTTTTGAAAATTAAAAATTTATCAAAAATTATTATGGCAAACTGAAGCTTTCTAAATGCAGAAATTGATTATGGTTATAGGATATTTGTTTATAATTAGACTTCTCCCTTCTTGGAGTACACCTCATGATTTTTTATACTCTAAGAATAACTTCAGTAACTTCTGTAGGGGAGTGGAGAGTTTGTTTCTTTACTCTGTAGTATTCATTGATTCACCCAGCTTTTATATTAAATACAGCTCCTTCATTCATGTAGAATCCAGCAGTAATGTTTTCTTCAGAGAATTCACTTCTCAAATTTTGGACAATTTCAGCACTGTCAAATCCATCATTATCGCACATAATTGTTAAAAAAGACCTCACAAATCTAACAAAAGCCTAAGTAGCTAAAGCTTGCTTTTCCTTAGTTGTCTTAACAATTTTTAATTGTATGAGGCATGCTAATTTTACAGTTTCCTCCTTCATAGAAAACAATAAGGTTGACGACAGCCTGAGTGAATACTCAGAAGGCATTAAGAAGTGATATTTCAGCTTCATCAAGGACGATAGCACCATATCTTCTGAGGATAACAGAGCTAGCTTTGCCTTTACATCCTGAGAAATTTATGATCTTGTCTTCTCCGATCATCATTTAGTCTACGAGTTAGCAATATCTGAGAGAGGTATCTTCTGGGTTATCAAAGATAGAGAAAATAAAGACTCCAAGGACTGAAGAGAGTCTCTTAGTTTCATCAAAGTCAGCATGCTAAATGGCCACGACTCCCTTATCAGCCATGAGCTGTTCAGAGTAGTTGTACATCAACTGTCTGTTGATGAAGATGTCTGGCTTGTGGGCCAGAATTTTCTCAACCTTCTTCTTCATCTTTCCTCTCAGGTTTTCCAATTTCAGCTACTTTCTGTATGTATTCAGATATAACCTTTGGAGTGAAAATTTAGATTTTATCGTGATTAATTGGAGTATTAGCAATCAAAATCTTTGGGTTCTCCATCCTCTTTAAGCATCCAGTTGAGTTAGTCTTTATCAAGATAAATCTTTCAGCTATGAAGGAGTCGGCCATTGTATCTCCAGCTTTTTAGATACTGAGTAAAAATAGATGAGTTTCACCAGTTTTTGGTAAATTTTAATGCTTAAAAACTCTGTAATTTTAGTAAAATTTTTAACATTTAGCCAATAAAAATATCCTCCCGATAATTTTGATGTAGTCCAAATTATTGATTCTCTTAAGTCAGAGAACTGTGTCAACTGCTAGCTGAACAAATTTCTCTCTGTCATCAGTCTGAAACGTGGAAGAGAGTGTTGTTCTAGCTATGTTCGCAAGATCTTCTCTGAACGATTCATCATTCTCATGTCTCTAAAAGATTTCCTTGAGCTTAGTCAAAGCAGCATCTTTGACAAATCTTCATCCAACGATGGCAGTCTTAGGATCGACTCTCATTTGAGTTAAATTCTTTGCTTCTCTAAGTAACTCTTCGTAAATTCCCTGCAATGGTGGTTGCACCGTCCCCTACTTCCTCTTCTTGAATTTTAAAATATCAATGAGAATCCTATCTGCTATATTATCTACCATAATACTCTTGAGAATGGTAGCTCCATCATTAGATACAGAAATAATGTGATGCTTGTTTTCATTTATAGATTGAAAAAATCTATTCATTCCCTTAGGTACAAGGGTGGCTTTCGAGATATCTGCTACAGCAATAACTCCAAAAATTGATTACATCCTAGCAAACTCATCTTTGACTTCAGAGGCTTCAACCTTAAGGACATTTAGAAGAATGTTACCCACAGCATCCATATTTCTTCCCATCTTGATTTGACATTAAAGTTTGAATTATCATCCATATTTCTCCTAGCAGAACTCGGAAGATCTTCATTTCAAAAATTTAGCGCTCTTTCTTTAATTATGCACTAGAACCAACGAGAAGGTTAATATAAGGGGTTTTGGGGTTTTGGGGTTTTGGGG